TGACCAAAACACTGGCTTGCATCCATAGGTGCTTCTCAAGCAAATCCCGGATGTCCTTCTCCCCCTGTACTCAGCCTTGGTGAGGCCACAGCTGTAATATTGCATCCAGTTTTGGGCTTCACAATTCAAAAAGGATGTGGAGAAGTTTGAGAGAGTCCAGAGAAGAGCCACATGCATGATCAGAGGTCAGGAAAGCAGACCTTATGATGACAGGCTGAGAGCCATGGGGCTCTTTCTTTAGCCTAGAAAAGCGCAGGCTCAGGGGTGATCTGATGGCCACCTATAAGTTTATCAGGTGACCACCAGGATCTGGGGGCACGTTTGTTCACCAGAGTGCTCCAAGGGATGACGAGGTTGAACGGTCATAAACTACTACAAGCTTGTTTCAGGCTGGACATAAGGAAGAATTTCTTTACTGTCCAAACCCCCAGGTCTGGAACAGCCTGCCGTCGGAGGTGGTTCAAGCACCTACATTGAACACCTTCAAGAGCAAATTGGATGCTTATCTTGCTGGGATCCTATGACCCCAGCTGACTTCCTGCCCTTTGGGCGGGGGGCTGGACTCTGATCTTCCAAGGTCCCTTCCAGCCCTAATGTCTATGAAATCTAGATCCATGTCTCAACGAGTAAGTATAGCTTAGACAGCTAGTTAAACTAGCAGTTAAATTTAAAAAATAAATAAAACGAGGAAACAGTATTCAGTTTTCAAGGCATAATCCAATTGACTGGAAGAGGTAGGAAGGAGGCATCATCCCTCTAAAACAGTGTTTCTCAAGCTTGCTAGACTCAAGGCAGCCCTCAGAAAGGACCAGCTCTTAGCTTTCACACATTTTCTGACAATGGAAAAATAATAAAGCAATTCTCTGTTGGAAAAAAATCTGAGACCATTAAAGTCAGATTGTAGATTCCTGTTTGAAATCTCTGGGCATCTCTTGTGAATCATCTTTGCATGCCTGATAGTGTGGCACGCTTAGGAGAATCTAATGGCTGGTTGAAAGCTGCTCTAAAGTAACTTTAAATTAAGAAAAACTTTTACACTTTCCCCTCTGTCAGGTGTTAGGCTGCTTGCTGGAGATGAGACTTTAGACTAGTTTGATACCAGCCTGATGTTGATCAGCCATACAACCCTGTTGTACCAGAGTTGTACATGTAGCAATATTAACTAACTGTACTACAGTTTTTCACACAAGAATACATTAAAAACCTGTTAGAAATGCGAGTTGTTTTTCACTATATGTTCCCCACATTTCTTCTGCCATCATTCTTTTAAGATGGTATGAAAAGATGCACAACTTGATTAGCCTCAATACTGTGCATTATTTTAAGGAAAAGTATGATAAAAAAGGTGATCAGATAGCACTTAAAGTGATGAGCATATGCCAGATTATATGAGACATCAATGCATATGACCTAAAGAGAAGCAGCAGATTCTCAAAAAGTAAATTTCTCTGGTAAAAAGGACAATGTATATATAATGTTAACAGACCCTCCCTTAATGAACAAATCACATCACCTTCCTTCATTTTAGTTCTTTATTAAAACCGTTGGAGGGCAGGCTTGACTTGAAAGCTATTTTTATTACTTTCAATAACAGTAACCTAAAATACTACTTAGTCCCTTGTGCTCATAGATGATGGCAGTCTTGCCAGTTCTCTGCTATTCTAATTACTCTTGTGTACTGGAGAAGAACCACTTTGTTAAAGCAGTAATTGTAAAGCAAGTGTTTTGCTATGTCAGAATCAGAACATTAAGTGTTTAAATAAAGATGTAAATGCAGGAAGTGGGTGACTCAGGGTATTAGCAGCTGCAAATTATTTACTAAGGAGCATACACAGTTTAAATTACTAATCAAATATCTCAAAGTCCTTTACAAATGCAGGCAAGTATCTTTATTGCTATTTTACAGATGGAGAAACCGAGGAAAAGAAGAATAAAGTAATTGGTGGGTCATCCAGCAGGCCAGTGACAAGCCAGAAATAAGGCCCAGAACTTGAAAGTCCTAGACCACTGCTCCAGCAAGGACACACTGCATGCTCCTCTCATGTTCTCTTGGAAAAGTCAACATGATGAAGAAACCTTCATAGATGTCATATTTGTAGTCTGTCTTGTGTTTCTGTCGTCTACCAGTGATATGACCAACATACCTAGCTACATATTTAAACTTCGAAAACAAAACAAAAATTGAGAGAAATGGGCATTCAGGAAATATTTTTTTTTGATAAATTATTTGCTTGTGCATTTATTAGCTGCTTTAAACAGTTAGATGCGAGCTGGTGTCTTCCTTTACAAAATAAATAAAAGGAAGAAAAAATGCTAGCTTAAAAATCTATATCACCTAGGTACTGACTTCCGTGAAACTTTCAAAGCAGGAGGAGCAATAGGCGTAAGTATTTGTTTTGTTCAAAGATCAAAAATGTAGTTTAATGAAAAAGGTGAATAAAAAACCCCAACTACAGTAGTGTTTGTTTAAGTATATGGTATATAAAATCATCATTTACAACAGCTTTGCAAACAGTGTATATTTTAACAGTATATTCAACAACAGGAAGAATGCTTGTTGTAATAGTTAGAACCCCAAGAATTAGCATTAAATATTTAGGTGAAAAATAAGCAGCCATAGAAATTAGGGTTTGGTGGTTTGGGCCCTTTAACACCACATTCTTTCTTGATAGATGTTTTGAAATCAGAATTCATTTAATGTTCTGTTCTTAAATTTCACATGAAGAAGCATCAACCAACTCTCACTGCCAGGTAATCCTTGGCAAGTGTGTTGAGTTTTGCCAATATTTCCATGACTGCCTCTATGAATAGTAGAATAAAGAACTATAAGAATTGCAGATGAAGTCTTTTTGTGATGTGCTTCAGGTTTGTGAGGTTTTTTGTAGCACTTTACTTATGCTAAGAGATTAAATTAAAGAAAAAGTATGGGACGTACCAGTTGTCAATAACAGCATGGAAATGGTAAACAACAACCCAAATTGTTGATGCTGATAAGATAGAATGATCACAATGAAATGCTAACAAGATTAATTAGGTAGTTTGCAGGGCTGTGTACGACCTTGACTAATCACATACCTGATTCTGGAATACTCCTTTTGAAGAAAGTGGAGTCAGAGTCAGGTCAAGTGACCAGTGAGAGGACTGTTTCATAGTTTCTAGGGTCGGAAGGGACCTGAGCAGATCATCTAGTCCGACCCCCTGCCATGGCAGGAAGAGCACTGGGGTCAAATGACCCCAGTAAGATGGTCATCCAACCTCCTCTTAAAAACCCCAGGGTGGGAGCCTGCACCACCTCACTTGGAAGCTGGTTCCAGACCCTAGCCGCCCTGACCGTGAAGTAGCGCCTCCTGATGTCCAACTTAAACCTTCCCTCCGCCAGCTTGTGACCATTGTTCCTGGTCACTCCTTGCGGCGCTCGGGGGAACAGGGACTCCCCCAGCACCTGCTGATCCCCCCTAACCAGTTTATAACAGGCCACAAGATCCCCCCTCAGCCTTCTCTTTTGAAGGCTGAACAGGTTCAGGTCCCGCAACCTTTCCTCATAGGACCTACCCTGCTGTCCCTTGATCATACGAGTGGCCCTCCTCTGGACCCTCTCGATGCTGTCCACATCCCTCTTAAAGTGCGGCGCCCAAAACTGGACGCAATACTCCAGCTGCGGCCTGACCAGTGCCACATAGAGGGGGAGGATCACCTCCTTGGACCTGCTCGAGATGCATCTGTGAATGCACAACAAGGCGCAGTTGGCCTTCCTAGCTGCCTCCCCACATTGCCGACTCATGTTCATCCTGGAGTCAGTAATGACTCCCAGATCCTTTTCCACCTCCGTGCTGACAAGAGGGGAGTTCCCCAGCCTGCATGTATGGTGCCGATTGTTCCTCCCCAGGTGCATCACCTTACACTTGTCCGTGATAACTGTATTTAATTCTTAAAAAAAATATATATATATTTTAAATTGTACATACTTTTTCTTGCTTTAAATTTGTATAATATTCTCCTAATGGAATGGAAAGGCCCAGTCTTGTAGCCATTTTGAATCCACTTTGAATATAGCACTACGAAACCTATTACTGGCAAAAGAAGGATTAAAATGGCCGGTAGTTCCCTTTCTATCTTTATTATTACTGTTTAAAATTAGGAGAACTCTAGCAGATTCTCTACCCATAGAAACCTATAGATATCCAATACTGTATATTGTGGTTATACCATTCACTATTCAGATGATAAATGTGTGAATGGTTAAATGCCTTTAATGATGATAGAAGAGTTTTTTTAAATGCTGACAGCACATGAACCTTAAATAACCTTGGAAATAATTTAGAGGTCCATGTTTTTTATATCCCATCTGAAGGACGTGGATATGTAATAGTACTTTTTTTTAAATCATAAAAATGCACAGGATGTCTTTAATACACAAACCATGCACTTGCCTACAAAAATCGGTTTTTCCATTTTTATTTTTTTGGGAAATGCTTACTAGCAGGGTGCTGTTATGGTCTTGCATTATTAAGAATTTTACCGAAAATGCCAGACAATTTAATGGTAATTATGTATTTCTTAAGATACATTGATTCCGTTTTTCAAATAAATGAACACACAATGTATGCTAAATTCTTTTTTTTTTTTTGCTAATTTCCAAATTTGTAATAGGGGTTTTAGCCATTGGTACAAATTAAGAATGTTCTACTATACTACAGCAGTGTCTCTTGCTATTAGAGCAGTGGTTTTCAAGCTGTGGTCCACAGACCCCTGGAGGTCTGCAGACTATGTCTAAGCTGTCCACAAAAGACGACTATCAATCAAAAATATGTGAATACCTACACTTACAATTCAAAGGGGTTGGCACTTTCATTCAAAATGTTTAGGAGTCCATAAATGGAAAAAGGTTGAAAACCAATGTATTAGGACGGTGAAGCTCAACCTCCAGCCTGCAGAGCCATCTCTTCTGGTTTGTGGACTAACCCATACATGGGATCCAGCCCCCAGAGCTGAGCACCACTTATACTAGAGCATTTTATGTATGACCAGAAAAACCACATAGGAACTCACTTTAAATATGCATAAAAGGAAAGTCTCAGACCAGACTTTTCTCTGGTTTTGCTTTTGGATTTAGTGAGGTTGAACCAAGGCGTGATCATTGCTAGCTGAAAACTTTTCATGTAGACTTTGTAGTACTGTGATATTCATGTTAATTTTGGTTAGGAAATTATACTGTGTTAAATTGGAACAAAGGCGGGGATTATATACCAATAATTCAGGGTAAAGGATATCACAAGGATGTTGTAATCATTCCAAAACCAAGGACTAAGATCAAGACAGTCCTCTTGAAAATACTGGAAGATGTCAATCATTCTGAAGTGAAATATTTCATGGAATTACCCATATAGTAAAGAATTGTATGCTTCAGCTGAGGGAGAGTTTCAGCTGGAAAGAAAATGAAAAAAATTAAATCAGCAGTTAGAAAGATCTCATAGTGGATGCTAAATTTTGAAAATATAAACTTTTAATTTATTTTAATCACTAAACTAATTACCACATTTACTTGCAGATTTCCAGAAAAATTAGTTTGTAGTCAAGGAGCAAGATCTGTAACTTTGGCAAGGATAAGAATAGTATGTATAGAGGCTGATTGTAGGTTTTTAACTGCAAAACTCAACTCAGTGTTAACTTCAGTGCAACTATCTATGCCTTAATAAGGTGCTTAAAGTTTGTATAAAATCAAAACAAAGTAAATCCCAAAAGTCCTGATAAGTGAAATGGTAATAAATAGCATAGATAGCAAATTGTCATAAGAATAGGCTGAATATGTTAGAAAATATGGACTGATTTGATAATTCCATTAAACCGTCTATGTTCTATCCAGGAAGAGAACGTTAATTGCTGTGGGTTTCTTTGCAACTGTAGTGGCCTATCACAACTGGTTAGCGCTAGATATAAAGAAAGAATGTACATGTGTTAAGAGGAGGTGGGTAGATGCAGTATAAAGAGCTGTGGTTCTGTAAGTTTCACAGCCTTCCTCACACAGTTGTAGCTCTAGATTAACCTTTGCTGGGTGTGTGTACACAAGATGCTTTACTGCACTTTAAACTAATCTACTACACAGTAAAGCATCATTGCCTACACGTGAGCAGCAGTTACTGTGAAGTAGATTAGTCTAATGTGCCATTTTCTAGTACCTGTAGATATAGAGACCTATCTGTCTATCGGCACATCAAGGCAGTCATGGCCTACAGCAGACACAGCCCCGCAGCAACACAGCAGTGCCTTATCCGGAGTCTGTACATGCTGAATGGGCCCGGCCCACCCCACCCTGCCCTGCTAGTGTGCCTTTGGATAGGGGCTGCAGGTGGTGGCAGGAGCTGTCATGGTCCTGTCGAAAGGCATGCTAGCTGGGCAGGCTGGATCAGATCTGTTTGGGTTGTGCAGCCCCCAGATCTCAAGCAGTGCCATGCCACCACAGGGCTTTGCCTGCTGCAAGCCATGACTGCCCTGACAGCCACCACCAGGGGTTGTGCACCATGGGGGGGGGGGGCATGTGGCAGCCCCCCCCCAAGCTCCCCACACAAACACCACCCCCACAAACCCCACATCCCCCCCACACAAGCCCCTCAGAAACCACACAGTCGTCACCCCATCCCTATTTACCTGGGACAGCACCTGGGTCCAGGGCACACTGCAGCCTTGACCTGCTCTGCCATAGAGATGCTCTGACCAGATGCTACAGTATTTCTCCGTAGGACTCAACCTCCGGTTGCCTCAGGGCACACAATACAAGCATGCTCTGGACTGCTTCTCCTCCCCTCCCCCCCCATGTGGGGTTTTTGAGGGGGTGTTTTTTGGACAATGGGATTTCCCAGTATCAAATTGAGAGCCAGTGCTGCAAAGATGCAGCATAGGAAACATTTTTGTTTTTAGCGTACCTCTTGTGGCATCTCAGACTAGTTTGAGATGCTGCAACAGGCACATACACACATCTAAACGTACTCACTGAGAGGAAATTGCTCTTGGTCATTCTTGGCATTAGGCATCCACAGGCAGCAGAGAGCTGTCCAAACTCAGCATGATGCTGCCTCCCAGCCACGTGGAGTTCGGGATGGGTCCCAATCTCCACGTGGCTGGGAGGCAGCTGCCTGGCAGCCAGGATAGCTCTATCTTGGAGATCAGGACCAGCCCCCGTGCAACCTGGCAGCCCACAGCTGGCACCTGCAGGAG